TAAATATCCTATACAATTGAAGAATTTATTCAAATTAAGAGAAAAGTAAATTAAATATTAATGTATCATTAATGAAAAAAGGAAAAATAAAAAAGTCATCAAAGAAAAAAGGACAACAAGAAAGTACTTCTCCAGCAGAGTTTTTTGTTTGTTTTTCGTTTTGTTAAAAAAATAAATAATTTATAGTAAAGAAATAACAAAATTAATTTAAATAGGAAAGATATCGATGGATTATGCATGACGTTATTCTTATTGAAAAAGATGGACAAAAGAAAATGCATGGATCTGATTTATATTCATTGTTTTTACAAGAAAAATTATTTTTACATGAATGCACCGTTAAATCTCAAGACCCAAATATTCCATTTATTTTACAATTAAAGAAATACGTTGATATTTACAAGAAAATATTAGATATTGATAAAGCAAAAGAAGAAGAGAAATTAAGTTTGTTAATTTTATTCATCAGTTCTATTCTTTTAATTATTTTAATAACTTATTAAATTATAGAACAAAAAATGGAAGAAATGAATAAACCAAAGGCAGCTGAACCTGTCTATAAAGAACAAACAAATGAAGGAGAACTATTTGATCCATTAGCAGGATTAGATGAAGATGAATAAAGAAAATAATTATTAAATTAGTTTAAATTTATTCTTTTTTTTTTCAGAATGAAAGAAGAGCCATTCAGCTAAATATAAAAAGATACGTTAATAAAAAGATAAATGAATTAAAAATAAATAATTATTAAAATTATAAAGAAAGATCACTTTCTTCATTTTCTTCATTTATATAAGCATTTAAGATTTCTTGAATTAACGAAATGATTTTCGGGATTTTTATAGATTTCTTTTTAATTTCTATTAAAGAAGAATAAATTTGAGATGAATCTAAAATAGAAACAATAGACAATCCATCCTCTAATCTTTTAACTAATATCCTTCTTAAAATTAATAAACTAAGACTTAATTGTTTCTTTGTTGTTTCATTAATGCAGTTACGAAGAGCAATAAAAAAAGTGAAGTCATTATAATATTTTATTAATTCATCATCACCACATGCAAGAAAGAAATTAATAAATGCTTTTATTGCTTCATTAGCGACAATTCCATTACTACAATTTACTAATGAATTAATTATTATTTTCATTGCATTAGTTTCATCTAAAAGAGAGCAATATTTAGTTCCATAAATTTTATCAACACATAAATTTTCAATTGCATAAAAACAAGCTTTTTGAAGTTTTAAATCATTATATAAAATAGCTTTTTGAGTAAGCCATTGAATTATTTCATTTTCATATAAAAAAGGAAAAATTATACTTTCAGAATCTTTATAAGATACAGCCCCAAGAATTATAACAAAAGAACAAGCGTATTCTTTAAATAATTCATTTGAAGAAATAGAAATAATAATTTTCCAAAGTTTAATGATGATATCTTTCATTTCATCCATAGAAATTAATTCGTCTCTGTCAAAATAATATCTAAATCCTATAAAACATGTATAAATAATTTGTTCATCATTTGATAATAATAACTTTTTAAAAATATTAATTATTATTTCTACAATTGAAAACGGTATTAAAGGTTCACTACAAATAAGACTTCCAAGACAATCTGTACATGCTCTTATTATCTCTATTGATTTAGAAGTTTCTAATGTTTTTGAAATAAATCCTTTAAATCTTTCAAAACAATTATCTCTTAATTCTCCACCATCTGAAATAATATTATTTAATAATATTATCCCTTTTCTTTGAATTTCTTCGTTTGAGGAATAATAAAGAATTTGTTCAAGAAGTTTAATAAAATTAGTTGATCCTAAATTTTTTGTATATGCCGAGTCTAATGCTGTCCAATTTATTAATACTGTTAGTGTTTGTTGAACGATATTCGTATTTGGATGTGTTAATAAAATAAGTAAGTTTTGAAGAACTGGAAGTGGATTACTATGACAAAAAACAAAAAGAGCATCGAGGATTGCTTTTTCATTACTTTTTCTTTCAACAGCTTGAATTGCTGCTTGTTTTTGTTTTTCATTAAATCGGTAAATCTTCTTTTTTCTATCAACTGCACCTTCTTCAATTTCAGAAACAGTTAATCCTAATTGGTCATCTTCAATACTTCTTTTTAATGATAGTAGCATTTCTCTTTTTTTTTGTCTTAATGAGGACTGTGCTATTTCTCTATTTTTAAATGCTTGTTTAGCTGGGTTTTCTCGTATATTGGACATCTTTTTGTTATTTAATGAAATTGAAGTTTATCTTTTTTTTGTATTATTTTATTTTGTTTTATATAACGATTAATATATTTTTATTATTTTATTCTTTTTTTTTGAGAGCAATTGACTCACCTATTTTTCTTTTTTTATAGAATGTAAGTAATTATTAAAGAAGTAAATTAAAGAAAAAAAGAAACAGTAAAAACAACATACATTACAATAAATTGTTATAAAAAAGTGAAGTTTAATAATACAAAATTAATGATGAACATCGGTCCTTTGACTATCATCAAGGCTTTGGTATCTTCTTACAAATTCATTTTGTTGAGTTGGTTGTTGTGGGAATTGATTTACTTGAAGTAACATTGGAAGAAACATTTCTATTTGATCTAATCTATTTTTTAGATCAGACCATCTAACTAAATTATTTTGTATTTCATGACGAACTTCTAATAAATCTTTTTCAATTCGAGTCATATCCATTCTTAAAGAGAACATTTTGCAAACATCAGTATTATCATTAGATTGATGTAATGAACTGGGGATAACTAATTTTTTATTTTTTTTTCTTTTAATTTTATCTAAAAATTCAGGTGCATCACGAACAAAGAATTCATGTTTAAAGCAAATACCAGTCTTATATTCTAACTAGTTAATTAGTAAAGTAAATTTAATCATTTAAAAAAAATGTAATGAAAACAAACTTTATGAAATCCATAAATATTTAATTGGCGAACAAAAGATGAAATATTAGAATGTTTGAAATGATATGGTAATACCTCTTTTGCAAACTGAACAGGGTCAGTTATAATAAATGCCTTCCCTTTATGTTCTTCACTCCATTGTATTAATGAATGATATTCTGGTGTATTAACAAGTGAATATAATTTACTAATAAATGGAGTACAATTATGTAATACATCAAATACCATTGCTGATTGTTTATCTTCGCATTTATCTTCTTCCTTTTTTATTTCAAATGTTTTATCTATTGGCAAGTCAACTGAATTAGAAAAGTTTGTTATATTAGATATACCTATTTTTGAATCAATGAGTGGTGTAAATGGATTATGTGTTTCGTTACATGTAGATAATTGAATTAATTTTTCATAGTCTGTCATATCTCCTTTTTGTATTTGAAAATTTAGTTTTGATAGTTCTTATTTATGGTATAAATACTATTGATTTTCCTTTTATTTATTTTAGTAACAACCTTATTATTTTCAAAAAAGAGTTAAAACAACTTTTCTTGTAGTGTCATATATTTTGTTTTAAAATTTCATTTTCTTAAATAACATAAAAAAATATTTTAACAAACACAAGAAAATATTATAAAAATGTGAGATATAAAGAAAATAAAAATATAAAACTGTTCATTAAAATAAAGAAAAAAAAATAAAAAAAAAAAAAAGAAAAAACGAGAACTAGATAAGTTGAGCTGTCGTTGAGGATGTTCAAGAAGACGAAATTAATCAATATTGTACGTAATGAGACAGCTGATAAAGTAAAAGAATATCTTAATAAGAAAAAAGTAGATAAAAAAACATTTGAAAAATTTAAAACGAAAGAGGAGAATCCGTTATATGTTTCTATGATTATTAGAAAAGATTTTGAGATGTCACAAGAGTTAATCAAAGTGATGATTAAAGTAAAAGCTGATATCAATAAATATGATGAAGCTGAACAAACAATATTACATTACGTATGTAATACATTTACTTCTGATGCATCTTTTATTATGGCATTATTACAATTTCCAGGAATAAATGTTAATGCAAAAAATAGAGATGAACAAACTCCTTTACATATTTTTTGTAATCATTTTGCTAATGTTCAATCATATAAAACAGTTTTACAAAAATTTGTTGAATTACATGCTGAAATTGATGCTACAAATTCATATCTTGAAACACCTCTTATTAAAACTGTTAAAAATCAAAAACTTAGAGGTCTTATTGTTCAATTTCTCATTGATAATGGAGCAAATATTAATGTTGCTAATAAAGCAAAAATACTGCATTACATTTTGTTGTTGTT